GAAAACAAAACAGAAGAAATGGATATACAAAATAAATTATTTATGTGCATAATATTCGACTTAAAGGAGAAAAATTGATGAATAGCGAACAGATTTCATGCTGAGAGTTGCGCTACATATGTATAAATATGTCTATGTTCATATCGGAATAAAAGAAAAATGGTAATAATCAATTCATTATTTTTGAATGTTCTATAAAAAAGGAATAAACTGCAAAAAATGTTTCGTAGACAAAAATCTGGAAATCGGATGGATTAAAGAAAACTGTTTTTTTAATTTGTTTACTATTCTATTTTCAGAAAAAGTAGTTCAGTCAACTCCAAAATCATAAAAAGTATATATTATGAAATACATTTTGGAATAGAATGAAACGGAAGTCAAATGCGAGTACTACACGATGAGCAGAATACTAGAAGTTTTTTTTATTAAATTACTTCCTTTGTGACTTTCCTAGTTCACCTTTTCCGCAATCTCGGTCCAACAATAAGTTTTGTAAGTCAACTGTATTTATTGAAATACACGGTTGTATTTGTCTATACTGATTTAAAACAAATGGCGGATTGGATTACAAGGTCTGCTGTAAGTTATGAGAGTAAAGACATTTTATCGTTTTTAATTTCCGGACCAAATGCCACAACATCCTTTATTGTAGTCTAACGCGACTCGCAATTAACGGACTCTGCACAATTTGGCCAACGGCTGGTAATATGCTAAAACTTAGCACATTACAAATCGAGAGAGAAGTTTCTAGACCAGCTAAAAGGTCTCGTCACACGGATTTGAAACTGTCGATCGTTGGAACGGCAGTTTGCGTGTGCGTCGAGAAAACCCATTACTCACATTTGGGTCATTAACGCGTTACTGTTGTTACAAATAGATCATCGGCTTATATGAGACGATAAAAAATATTTGTCAACGTCAATTCGACTAAGTCGGCGCCATACCTTTTTCAGAAAAACTCTGTTGCACGTGCCGGCCGTTGTTTTCCAATGGTTGTGCCGGAACGCAGCATTGCCCCTGTCCACGCCGTCCTCGAAGCTTGTCCGAGCACCGTACAAAAACGACCTGGTGGACCGTTTTCGGCTAAACGGTAACCTTCTAACCGTCTCGTCGTCGCTCAACGATCTCCTATCGTCATCGTCGCCGGCCCCTAGCCCGACACCATACTTGCAGTAACGGACACGGTCATCGTCTCTGACGCTAAGCGCACTCTCGATAAACGCGAACAACTGTAGCACGTGCCTATCAAACTGCTTGTAAGACGCAGGAATATATTCCAGCGACCCGTCTGGCGACGGGAGAAACGTGTTTCCTCCGTCACGTGTATTGCAACTATTACACTTAGAGTCGTCTTCGCTATCGTTCGGAACGTCCAGTCCAAAATGTACAGTCTTTGTATTCCGGGGCAGTTGCTGTTGGTGTCCAACGGATGAGCACCGTGATTTCGCTTCTACCATTTTCATCGGCAACTAATAAAGCTTGTCAGTCCGTCGTTATTATGTTGTCGGCGCAATGCGACTGTGCCGGATTTTGTGGGCCCGAAGCGCAAGCGACGGCACGCCACAATTGTTATCTCAGTAGGTCCCATGCGTGAACGTTGTGGGGCCACCGGTCATCGATAGACTGTTATAAAACCAGTCGACGACCGACAAAAACAATAGTACAGCTACGTTGCGTACACGTAAAAATGTTCGATTATTTTTGCCGAACATATGACTGGTATGCAAATCTAACACATCATTATAAGGACAAAACAAAAGTTTACCATATGAACAATATGTGTAGCGGTTAACGGGGTACTGGATGAATCGCGTCAAGATCGTTCAGCTTCTATTAGCAGACTACCGAACCCGTGGACTGGGGTGAATCACGAGGGCGTATATAGAACTTTCGCAGCGTCCCGGTGCCCCAATCACGCTCTCTGGCGGCACGGGCTGAAAATACTCGAGGGTATTTTACGCTCTGGCCGCCGAATTTCCCGTCTACATAACGTTCCTAAAGGTCGGAAGAAACGTAACGAGAGTAATACGCCGTTATAGAGCGATCATAGAATATTATTCAGAACAACATAATAATAATAATAATAATATCGAAACACGTAAATGCCACAGCCGTTTATTCCAATAGCATACTCCGAACAGACGCTTCAAAGAACTGTTTGCTGAGAAGATGAAATTTCCAATTATATCTTTCCACGCTGTTGAATATCTTTGAATTTCAAATAAATTGATATCACAAGGAAGTATAATTTAATGGTATGAGACGTAACTCGTTAAATTTTAGCCAACGATTTTATTCCTAACCAAAATATATTTTAAAACGATCGAGAATGTAATTATCATTACAACCCCCAGCCGGTTGAGGTAGCTAATATTTACTTAAATTACCATAGCAGCAGTCACTGGACCAAATAACACAATGCAGTTGGCTAAAATTAAAAGTGTATATAACCTTTCCCCTATTGTGTTGTTTGTTAAGCTGGAAAACAATGCGGCTATTTAAATACACAATTCAACTTTTGTTAATTGTTAACGTGAGATACATGGGTAGAATGAGAAGATAATATGAAACAGCCTCATTGTTTTATTAAAAAAAACATGCCAAGATCATTCATTACATTCACAATCTATTTATCAATCGCAATTACAAAAAAGCGATTAACAATTTCATCTGATACGACATCGAATGATGTATTTCGAAAAATTGCACAACGCGGTTAATTGACAACGAAAATAAATGTGTTAAAAACTCACATGAAATACATTATCAGTAATGAAATGATGAAAATCTAACCAATAACGAATACATTAATAATTATTAAAATAAATTAAGAGTGCCAATGGCGATCGAGAAAAATTGGTTTAAAATTAATCATGTTATAAAATATAAATGTAATCTATTAAAATTAATACATTTTAAATTGACGCTAAAAATTCAGCAGCGCTTAAATTTTTTAAAATTAGATTTTGACAAAAGATGACTGCATATATATTTTTTAAATAATTATCTGACAAGCACAAATAAATCAAGAAAACTGTTCAACACTGGTTAAGATTTTATTACAAGTTTTGTTACAAGTTATTTATTCATAACATTATTTTTTTATATAAGCATATTAATTATTAATGTGTTCTCTCTTTTATAAAACTTTTTGGGTCGGCACTTGCAATGTCAAAACAACGGACATCGTTCAACATTTTTAGCCAGTAAAAAGTTTGTAAGTAATGTGGCATTATACTTTATACAGTTTTTTGAGAAAAGTGTACCATAAATGATAAAGTATGAAGTATTTGAACAGTATATGTAGGGAAGCAATAAATTGATCACCAACCCTTTTGATTAGGTATCTTTTATCTATTGATTATCTTTCAAATGTTACAACTTAAGCTTTCCTTGCAATCACTGCCTACAATTGACGTGCGTTTTATTTATTTTTGAACATCATCTATATATTTGACTCAGTCGATCAAACTGTCGTAGTGTATAAATAAAATATATTAGAGTTTTACGATCCTATACTTTTGATAATTTAAATGAAAAAAAAGAAACATTTTCTTAAAAATACATTAGACTGAATTTAATATAAGAAAATTTATACAAATGTATATTATGCAGGATGAAATTTTTAAAACCATAAATAAATCTTGATACTTTATTTTAATGGATAGTGTAATAATTTCAATTATTTTTATTCTTTAATAAAAAAAATGTATATAAGGTATAAATATTATTTCTTTGAGAAAAAAAATTTTTCCTCTATGTTTTTGTTAAAGTGAAAATTACTTTTAATTATAGTTTTTAACTACATTTTTTAAATATTAAATGAACTATTTTAAATATTTCTAATATTTTAATATTTTCAAAGATAAAAAAAATCTCTACTTTATTATGTTCTAAATACATGTGTTATATAATAATTATTAACATAAATTTTTATCATCCATACATCATTTATAATATTATAATTAATTCTATATTTTCTAAACTAAATATTTTTTATTTATACCTTTAGACACGTATTTTCCATTCCATGAGACATAAACAAATTTACAATTCTTACATAAGTAACACATTTATATTATATAAAAATTCAAATATATTTAAAACGAATATAAAATTCTAACTATTGTTAGTATTTTATATTTTAAACAGTAAATTTATGCTTGATAACATTTTATTATCTTATTGGTTTATAACCTATCACTTATTTGTTAAATCAAATATTATCTTATTTCAATAATTGATAAAAATAAATTCATTTTTATTAGAACATTCAATAACTTGTATGTAAATTTATACTAACTATTCTAAAATTGTAATCTCAATTTATTTTCTTATATCAAATCAACCATAATTAATAATACTTTACATAATTTCTTTCATTTAAAAAGTATAATATTAGGAATTGTTATTACATATTATCAAATTTTTTATGTTAGAAATTGATTATTCAATTATTTTAACTAAAAGTTAAATGAAATAAAACGAAATTTATTTTATGGAAATAAAAATTTTAAATATCATAAATATACAAAACCTTCACTTTTATGTTTTTTAGTTTGGATTGAGAAAATATCATTTAACTACTTAGATTCAAAATAAACACTGGATATTTGACAAGTCTAATAAATTATTTTAGTGTAGTGTAAGCAATAAATATACGCCATCTCACCTACCTGTAAGTTTTTACAGAGATTTAACGTATCATTAACTAGTTTAGTGAAACATTATAAACATACTACTAAAAGTTAACTTTTACTAAGACGTTAACTAAAAAAATCACTTTTATGTTAATCTTTAAAAAGTTATAATCTTCAACAAATTGAAAATGTATAATGATTTTTATGTAGTATACAGTTACAAACAACAAAAACTTATTGTATCTGTATAAGTTGTCATTGATAAAATACGTTTTAAGATAAGCTGTTAGACAATAAGATATGCTAAATATTCTAAAGATAAGTATATCAATAGGTACTAGTACTTATCAATTAACTCACCTCTGACGATGTAAGATAACACAAGCGGGAATCGGTACTTTCAACGGAAGCTTGTTGTGTAATTCCACTAAAACTATGCCTAGCCTCTCTTTCAGTCATATAATCTAACCTTCCACTATCTTGTCGTTCGAATATCCTGTAAACATTATTTATTTATTATTTATAAACTTCATTTTCACATTTGTAAAAAATTATAGTATTATTATAAATAAATTTTATTATAATCAATTAACAGGCACGTGACTAGGAAAACATTTTGAAGGATATAAAAGAAAATATTTCCCACGTTATATTATTAAGTTAAGCATTGTAAGTAAAATGTAATTTTAAAATATTTCGGGGAGATCTAGACACCATGGACTCCTCCCTAAATACGAGCCTTTCAATTACCTAGGATGAAATATAATGAGAAATGATATAGTCACAAGGGGATTATACACAAGAAAATCTCCCATGAAAATATACCTGATTATGCCATAAATATCCTCTATATATATTATATATAAGAAAGTTGAATGAAATTATTCTTTCGTTGTTTCATATTTATTTCTATAAACTTAACAGAATTTCATTATAACCGCGTAAATGATATTTTAAGTTAGCAAATTCGTACAAAACCTTATATTCAATAGACTTGTTTAATTTATTAGCTTCGATGAGAAGCTGAGATGGTATTGGTTTTACTATGATGTGTTTTTTTTTTTTTTTGTCTATTACCACTTTTTCTCAGCTCTCACCGAACCGATTTCTTTCAACGATACGTCAAAACACCACAAATCGTATCTAGTTGAAGACATTACTCTCAAAAATTGAAAAAATTTCCCTCGTTTCCCGTAAATGGGGGAAACCTCCAAAAAAATTACAAATTTAAAAATCGCTAATTTTCGAAATTTTTTCAATTTTTTTACTTAAAACTGCCATAACTTTTTCAAAAATGAACAAATTAATACATTTTTTTTTTAATAAATGCTGGATGTGTTTACCTATCATTTGGTATACTTTTTTTTATAAATTTAACCCTTCACCAGCCCACAAGGGGGGATTNAATAAATTTTTTTTTAAATAAATGCTGGATGTGTTTACCTATCATTTGGTATACTTTTTTTTATAAATTTAACCCTTCACCAGCCCACAAGGGGGGATTCAAAATGACAACTTTTTCACAAAAAATTAACTTTTTCCACTTAATTTTTGAAAGTGTTCCGGAAATACTAAAACTTTTATATATATCTTAAATTAAAGCTAATGTAATATAATTTATTATGGAAAAAGAAAATTTCGGACTTTATTTTGTCTTCACGGTGAAAATGGCTATCATATGCTATTTTTGAGTTAAAAATCTCGATTTTATATTTTACATTTTTAACTTTAAAATGTTATAACTTTTTTGAAAAATGTATGGATCAATACAATTTTTTTATAAGAAATAATATTTATATACTTCTTTCATTTGTCATACTTTTTTTTTAAGTCTGACCATTTCCCTTGATACAGGGGGTGTTCAAAACATAAAAATGCATATAGAAAGAAGAACTTTTTCAACTTAACTTTTGAAAGTGTTCGGAAATACTGACACTTTTATATATATCTTAAATTAAAGCATATGTAATATAATTTAATATTAAAAAAAAAATTTCTGACTTTATTTTGTTTTCATAGTGAAAACAGTCATCAAAGTTAATAAAAAAAATACGATTTTTGTAAAAAAATTCTTTTTCATATTTTTAACTTAATAACCCTATAACTTCTTGAAAAATGTATGAATCAATAAAATTTTGTTATAAGAAATAACATTTTTATACCTCTTTTATTTGACATACTTTTTTTTTAAATCTGACCAGTTCCCTTAATACTGAGGGGTTCAAAATATAAAAATGCATATAGAAAGTAGAACTTTTTCAACTTAATTTTTTAAAGTGTTTCGGAAATACTGACACTTTTATATATATCATAAATTAAAGCTTATGAAATATACTTTAATATTAAAAAACAAAAATTCGGACATCATTTTGTCTTCATGGTGAAAATAGCTACTGTATTCAAAAATATGCTACTTTTGTGTTAAAATTCTTGGTTTTGTTTTTTATTTTATTATAAAGGAATTACACTGATTTTCATAAATATTATATCAATCTAATTGACATGGTATAAAAAGTTAAACATATTTAAATTTTTTTGTTTCTTTGAAGTCGAGAAAAATAACTTTAAAATTTGAACTAGCTAAATTTCCATTTTTATTAAGTGACAAATGAGACGTACGGTTTTTGAGACGGTAACACTTGGGTCTTTCACGACTGTGGCACTGAATTTTTTTTTTAATTCTTTTTGAGTTAAAAAAAAATGTTTAACTCATTTGATTTTTATCTCATTTAGATTCAATAACTTCAATAAATATCAAGGATTCCATTACTGTAGTCTCCTCTCGTGAGAAGAAATTCATATTAATATAATTTTACTATGTGGTTTTTTTTTGTAGCTATCATTTATTTGACCTACTTTTTTGACAAATTTTTTTTTTTTAATTAAATACTATCTACAGATTTGCATTGAAGCGTTTTTTATGATAGTGATTTTAATCACTGTCAGATATCATCTATACTGGACCCAACTATGCTACGACCCCACTGTGCTGGGTTTTATTTTATTTAAAATATAAATAATTAATAAGATAAAACATCATCTTCTTCTTCTTCTTTTTTTTCTAAAACTATATCTCATTATACTTTGACTAGAGAAAATCAACTATTATTAATACTATTATCTAACATCCTTTTGTTCTATCAATTCATTAAAATGTTTATTGGATATAAATAACTCAATACTTTACCTTTGGTCAAATGATTCGTTCCTATTAGACTTGTAACCACTATCAGTGATAAGACTATTTTCATGACGAAGTGACGGCAAAGATTCCCAAGTAGATCTCTTTGATGGCCTTCCGGTAGGTAAATGATGACGTACATAGTGTCCATCGTAAGGAATCCCAGCATTTGAAGCGCTACTTCCCATAGTCGATGATCCACACCGCCATCCATCACTATGTCTAAACCATTGAGCACGAGCAGATTCATTCCAACAATTGGCGCATCGATTACTAAAAAAATATATTATAATTAATAATAAAACTTATAACTCGATGATAATAAAAATATTAAATTTTAATCATCAGACTAACTTTTGAACAAAAAAATATTTAATGAATTTTATCATCTCATATTTACCCTAGTAATATTGGTTTTAACTATTATATAACTTATAAAATGTTGTCAAACACAAACAAAAAAAACTATTGTTAAAATTTGATATGTGCTATCACAAATAATAATAATGCATAGTTATTAATTTATTTAATTTTAAACATATTACTAAATGTATGTCATCAATATTATAATTGAAAATAAGTTAATCTACACCCAAAGAAAAACCTCAATCAAAATTGAAAGAGAAATTTTATCAAGGGTTTATGATAATGTTTTATTAATACGAACAAAATAACTATTCTTATAAATAATTATTGTTCAAGACAAGAAAAAAAAATATCATATTGATAAATATATCATTGATTCAATAGTAATGATATATTTATCAAATTGAACAATGAATTTATTATATAGATCGAGGTTTTTCTCTGGGTGTAGGATAAAAAATAAATATTAATATATCAACAATATTATTTTAACGAAATACATTGATTTATTTTATACCAAATTAGTAAAATTATTCAAATTTATTTTTCCTAGTTTCTTTTTATGCATATTTCAAAAATTTTAGCTTCTAAAATTTCTAGATAATTTTGTATTGATTTGTTTATTTTTTTGGTATCTGTTACTACTTTTTCTCAGCTATCACTGGACCGATTTTTTCAAGGATACGTCAAATCGTATCTAACTGAAGACATTTTTCTCAAAAATTGAAAATGTTTTCCTCGTATCCTGTAAATGGTAGAAACTCCCAAAAAAAATACCATTTTTAAAATCGATAAATATCGCCATTCCTTAAACTTTATTTTCTTAAAACATTTTTTAAAATGAATGAATCAAAATAATTTTCTTTAATAAAAATAGTATAGGTATTTCCCTTTCATTTTATTTAATTTTTTTCGAAAACTGACCCTTTACTTACCTACAGTATAGGTTACAAAATAGAACTTTTACACAAAAATTTAACTTTTTCCCTAAGTTTGAAAATATTCCAGGTATACTGCCTTCTTTAAACATATATAAGTTCAGTTCTTAGTTTTAGTTATTAGTGAAATGGATATAATGTCCATGCACTCGACCTATTGGTCAATTGTGCACACCTGAGTTCCGACGACCTTTATTCATATGTGTAAATGCAATCGAAGTTGAACAAATACGTAATTTTCGTGTAAAAAATCCCGTTCTATTGTGATTTTATTTTGGTATATGAAGCTGCCATAACTTTTTGTAAAATAAACGTACCAAAATAATTTTTTTTATATATAAATACCTTATGTATTTCCCTTTCATTTTATATAAATTTATTGAAAATCTAACCCTTTACTTTTCATATATTATTCTATTAAAAAACTACTAATCAGGAATGATGGAAAGGAAATAGGAGTTCATTTTGCTTTTGGAATAATCCACCAACTTCTTAAAATTAAATACAATTTGCAGGTTTGCATAGAATCTTTTTTATAATAGTAATTTTAATCATTGTCAGATATCGTCTAAACAATATAAATGATAAATAAAGTAATGAGAAATATTTTAGTGTATTAAATTTTAACTTACTAAATTTTAAATAATGTGGTTATTTTTAAAACCGCAATAGCTAATTATAAAAAAAATAATAAAATGCACTTTGATTTGTTTAGTTAAATTTTATATATTAGATTTCAATAAGTTGAACTATTAAAGGCGAAATAAATTCTGTTTCTTTGAAAAAGCCTCAAATGCTTAAAAGAAAAACTATAATTAGTTCGAAGATATTATTTATAGTTTATAATAAATTGAAATTTATAAATCACTCATAAATTGAAGCACCACCAGTGCAATATCATGTCAGCAAAAAAATGTAAATTTTTATTATAAAAACATAAGTTTTTAAACGGATTTTAAATATTATCTATTTTTATTTAAAAATGACGGCTTAACAAAAAACTAGAGAGTTGCCATGTTATTACAATGATGCCTTTGATTGTTTTTTCTTCATGAATATGTTTTTGTTATTTTACTAATTTTGTAAAACTCTTAAGTTTGTTGTAAAATTTTAATTTTGCACAATTAAATCTAAAAATTGGTTAAATATTCTAATTTTACAATTAAACTGCATCCACCAAATATGACATTGGTTTTTGGGTCAATTCCTTCCTTCTGTCCTAGATTACATATCGAAATCACTGCCTATTAAGTACTTTAAACATTAGGCTTTGTAAAACGTATTGTTCGAGAATTTAAGCTTAAGGCCTCATTTAAAATACTCTATTGTTCTCTAGTACGTACTAAGAGTTTGGTAGTGTATTATGAAACCCGTCAACTTTTACCGACATTATTCTTTTAATACGAATCCAAAATTAATTTTGGAGATCGGCTGCTTTTTTATTAAACATTTACTCTTCCTAACTATTTTTTCAAACGAAAAAAAAATTTCAGTGCTTCGTTTACACACTTTAGTTGATCGTCATAAGAAACTTATATTATGTTTTCTTAATATCTGATAATATTGATTGTTTTTCCTTATTATCCGAAGCTCTTTTCATGTCCCTCTTCAATTATTAGGTCCTTTTAATTCTACCGATTATGAACGTATCTCTTACCCCTACCCCTTTTATAATATGCATCACCAATAAAAATCATTAATTTTGTAATAAAGTTTTTTATTTATAAGCATTTTTTTTTATAATTCATGTTTTGAAGATACATAATCTTATTATACAATAAAACAAGAAAAAAAAGCTTTTTTGAGCAAATTAATTAGTGTGCTCAGATTCTCAAACAAATTTTTCAACGAAAGTACTTGGTCATGGCACTTTCGAAAAATTATTGGCAAAGATCGAAAAATTTTTATTGCTCGTACTCGCGATTTAAAATATCGACCGTATTCAAGAAAAACGTTNCAACGAAAGTACTTGGTCATGGCACTTCCGAAAAATTATTGGCAAAGATCGAAAAATTTTTATTGCTCGTACTCGCGATTTAAAATATCGACCGTATTCAAGAAAAACGTTCGCTGACGCCAGCGTTTTACGACTAAATATCTGAATTTTTCACCAGACCCGCCCAAAGTCAATTCTAAGATATCATATAAAAATATTTTCGAACCGTCCATTTTTTGCCATTCTCTGAACTTTTTATTTTTTTTATGTCCACATGCAAAGTTTTTAATAGAATATGGTCTTGTGTTTGCGCATGAATTTTTAATAAATTGTAAAGTTTGATAATATGCTTTTTGAAGATTTATTATCATATCGATAATTGAATTTAACATATCTAATTATTTGCATGGTTAAAAGAATACATGTTTATACATAAACTATCACGACAGTACAGTTTATTCATAGACTTATTATTTTATGTATAAATCTATGAGTTTATCGTAATACTCAGGACTTAAATACTATGCTCTACAATGTCATAACAGAGTACTCAACATTCAAATCAAAATTGACTTTTTTATATAGTCCTAAGAATAAAAACTTGCTGAATTTTTCTATAATTATTCTATAATATTACCATATTATTTTAGAAGATACAACAATATAAACAAATAGAATTACAAGATGATATACGTGACAAAATTTATGTTTTAAAATTATTATGTTAATAGTAATACTTATGGTTAGTTATTTTTCAATTTAATATCCCTTAATGATTTAAATTAATTAAATCATATAGTCAGTCAATTTATATTTTTATTCTGATTAAAAAAGAGATTATTCTTTATTTATTCTCTATTCATTATTTATTTTTTTTTTTATTTAAAAAATATATATTTATTTGTTAATCATCCGATTGTTATATGCAAAATTCAATAATTAAATAACATATTTTTTTAGATAACTAATGTAATAATAATGACATTATTTAGAATGTACAATATACATTTTATACATAGAATTTTGTATCTGTATGATCACTTTAAAAATTTTATATATTTAAGCTCCACTGGAATCAATTATTTAGAATAATAATATTAATTTTCAGAAATTAATAACTTTTAATTATAAGGTTTTCTAATCATCTGTATTAGTTTAAAATACTGGATGGATATTAAATTTTACAGTATAATTAGTTTGTTGAAGTTTGACATTAATATAAAATTCAAGAACCAACATTTAATCATACTTTTCAACCAAGGCCCGTATTTCTTCGGGTTTGGGCCAGAATCTTAGATAAACGGAGCGTAATGTTCAAAATAAAAACGTATTGTATAAGTAAACATACTTATATGTTATGTTACTTTATAACTATATATTTTTCATATTGTATATAAATAAAAAATTATATTTATATAAAAATTAACTTAAATTGTCAGATTTAATTATAAATGTTTCTTTTGTTAAGAAAAATCCTCATTTATTTTTAGTATTTACCTTGAAGGGGCATGATCAGATAAATAGCCTCGTTCTCTATCACGTTCTCTTGCAGCAGCATCTTGCCTATCACTATAATATCCTTCCCTAGTTGCACTTGATGACCTTTCTACTCTATGTGGAAGTGTGGATGACCTATTAAAACTTCCTGCTGCACTCATTGGCCCTGTATGACACATAACTTGTTAAATATAATAATTAATTATATTTTAATTAGAACTTACGTCTCATCGTTTGGTATTGACCTCTAGAATTCAACGGGGGCAACTGTTCAGCCATTTCTTTGAATAAAAAAATAATTAACATGTTGTATTAATTAATTAATGTTTTTTTGATAAATTTGTAGACTGCTTACCTAAGTTTTCCATACTCTGTGACAAGAGAGCTTCAAATGTATGTAAACTATAACTTTCGGCATCCATTCCTCGAGCTAAAGTATTTCGCAAATGCATTTCATATTCGAGCAATAAACGGCTAGTTGGTGAACCAGGAGTACTGGTAGCTTGATTATCATGTTTCTGATAGCGCCCTATTAAAAAAATATACCAACTTTATTAGAATTATATTGTATAACATCAATAATATAAACAAAAAATAAATGGAACAAATGCATTTTACCACCCTATCGAATTTTTAATTTTTTTTGACTCGTGTTTTAAATGCTTTTTCAAACATTTTTGAAACAATTATGGAAATTATTTTTATGAAGCTATAGCTTTTTAGAGCTGACACAAAGTAAACCAACCGGGTTTACTAAACTAAAATATTGGGTATATTTTTTTGGTTTTTTAACCAAAAATTAACAAATCACTTACACCTACCAGCTCTAGTGACTAACTCGAATCTTCTCGAGACTTTTTAAGAATAGAGACTCACACCCCCAAATATCTAGAGAAGATAATTTTAACCCAACTAAAATGAAAAGTACATAAAAAGTTCAAATCGTCACTTGAAACGGTATAAAACTCAGTATTTATAAATACGATCCTAAAAATGTGTGTAATAATAAAAAATAACTAAATTTTTCTCAGAATAACTTTAATATCTAATCGCTTTTCATTTGATAAAAGTGATTAAAATATAATTATAAATCGTATAATATCTAAAAAATATACAAAAGGTATCACAGTTTATTTATAAACACTATAAATGTAGTTTAATGCTAAATAAGCAAGTACAATATTTAGTAAAATAGAAATCCTTTTTATAAATTCTTAACTAGTATGAAAAACTAAATCAATTAAAAATTTTTTTTTTGAATTTTTTTTGATGGGTGGTAACCATGCATTTTGATACGATTATATACCTATTGATGTTTTTTAATTAACTATTTACTTTAATGAATTTAATTACAACTATGGCTACACGCAATCTACAATGCTATTTCTATATTGAAATTTCATAAATTGTAACTACTTCTAAACCCTTCCCCCTGATTTTTCGGCTTTTTTTTAATATCTACAAGGACAGTGTAACACCGACATATTTTTGTATATTGTTCATGCCCTTACGGACCTGATTTTCCCTTAATGCTAGATTGATCCTGTTCTGAATTACCATTACTCGAGCTAGGTGTAGTTGCGTAACACTGATTATCGAATATAACGTTATCCGAAAGAGGTGAACCATCGCTAACTGGAATAGGTCGCCCATTTCTATCTAACTCCAAGTACATACCTCGTGAATCCCTCATTTGGCCATTACGACCAATATCATATGATGAACGAGATCCTGTGCAACAAGAATATTTAACATCAATGTTATTTATGAATGAAATATACTTTGATTAAATTTAAGCGTATGATGTATATAATAAATTAATAATCAAATAATTATTTTTATACACACCTAAATTACTGAAACGTGAATTCCTGTGTTTTACCGATGACTCTGGTTCCGACAACACTTGTCTTGAACAATGAGGCATAGATATAGACATATTTGACGGTGGCGGGGGTTGATGGTAATAACTATAACCACGTCTTCTCGTCATTTCCGGAGATGTTACAGGACTATCCAAAGAAGGCATTGGCTTCAATGAGCGTTTTATTGTTCCCATATCTTTATCATTATTTAGATAAAAAATACAATTAATAACTTTATTTAAATCCATGATGTATAATAAATTATTAATTTTAAAAAAGCTAATGAAAAATTCAATTAATTTGTTTAATAACACTCACTATCTCTAAATCGGTAATCATCTCTATAAATTTTATTTTGATTTCTTGAACTTTTTGGTATAGCAGTAGACTTAAACAAATCCGAATCGACATAATTTTCGGAATAGTCTTTTGAGGACATTCGCGGTGTGCATGTGCCTGTGGTAGTTGTGGTCTTGGCACCAATTGTCTGCACTCCTTCACTTTTGCAAGTGTCCTGTTGACCCTAAATTTAATAATATTATTAAAAATTTTATGTTATTTTGCCTTATAATTGTAGCTATTTATTATACTCCCCTAATTACACGTTATTGATAAAAAGGGAAAATACTCCCCAAAAGTAGGTATATTTAGAACAATTTTAGGGGGCTTAATTTTTTTTTTTTTACTATGGTAGGTATGCTAGAAAAAATATTTTTAATAAAAAAAAAATAAGGTCCTTAGAGGCTTTACAAATTTAGATAGCCTACTATAGAAGATAAAATAGCCCTCTATATACACCCCTATCAAAAAAAAATTATACATGTATAATTTTTTACCAAAATGTTATACCTGTTCTGTTTGTGATCCAGTTCCGGTGATGTTTAATTTTCCACCAGGCGTGGCAGTTTCTCTGTCTCTCATAGTTGAGCTTCGGGATATGGTCTGTTTGGAAGTGTCCTCAACTCCCAATGCTCTATCTGGGTCTGAAGGTCCATCCCCAAGGGAGAGCTGTCTTGTATGAGACCGTGGTAACGTCGAAGCTAATCAAGTAACAATATTTTAATTAATTATTATTGTTTTTCAACAGGTTTTTAAAAACATACATCTTTCTTTATTGTATCGTGGATCTTGCGCTCTGAGTCTATTAAACTGGTCTGCTGTCATGCAAGTACATTGAGGCTCTCTCGATCTGCTGGGTGACGTTGGGGTAGACAAAGGTTTTCTTTTAACCTTTGTACTTTGTCTTTTGGAGGTATCCAACTTGAGAGAATATGATGAAGACGATTTTCGAGACAACTTTACAGAAGGAGTCTAGATAAAAGTATTATACAAAAAAAGATAGAATATCAATAATTAATCAATGGTTACTAAAATACTTACACAACATTCTTTAAATTGTTTAGCATCAATGGGTGATGTAAAATTGAGACCCCATGTGTCGTTACTATGTGGTTCTTTCCAATACGCAAAACATTCTGAAGCTAAACCTATTTTTGTACCTAAAGAAAGAAAATTTGTTTAGTAAGAGTAAATATGGTATAGTTAAAGATAAATAAATTTAATTTACCCGGCTGCACCAGACGAATATCCATAATTTTTTCCACTTGACTGTTGTAAGCGGTGATATGGAATATATACTCGGGTCCATCTTGTATGCATGTAATATTCACAGGAACAAGATCTTCGGATATTTGTTGCCATTTTATTTCTTCCCCTTTGGCACTCACATGGAATACCTCTGCCCACAATCTATAAAATATTTGACAGTATGAAATTTTTGAGAAAATCAATAGAGTATACACCTACTGGTGTCATTTTAGTAATAATATATTTAATATTAAATTTAAAAAAAAAGTTGCACCATAAAACTTTTAAAACATGAATAGGATATACTATATTATAATACTCTTGTGTCATATAACATATTTATTTAACACGTATTTAATATTAATGTGGTTAAGGTTCACTGACTTAACAATTGAATCCTCGGGGATAATACCTGACATCAAATAATAATCTTCTTTATAAAATGATGAAAGTTCGAAAGCAAAATGTACTGTGTTCTGCATTATTGTAACCTCATGTTGAATTTTAAAACTCAAGGAGCATAAATATTAACATGTATTTAATGAGTATAACATAGCCAGTCAATATGTCTGTTTGAGTCAGTGTTTTGAAATAATAAAAATAACAAAAAATTTAGAAATTTTCCTTTGAAGTTGTGCTAATTTTCAACACGCCATAATTGATAATCGAGTCAAACCAACATGAATTAGCAAAAGAATAAAATTATTTTTATAATTGCACAAATTTATATATTTTTTATAAATAAATGAATACCTTAGAAGATGGCCATCTCTTCTTCGGGATGAACTTTGAAATGGTCCAGTAACATCATCGTATCTATACGACTTTTTTATTAGAGGTCCGCAGGAGCTCAGTTTGTTGCCCATTTCCAACCCCTGCGATTGTTCTGGTCACCACCCTCCTCCGTCTTCCCCCATTTTCTGTAAACATGAAAAATATTTGTTTTTAATTACAATAGAAAATTTTCAACTAATTGATATATAGTAATAATTAGTAATTAATTAATATTATTTAATGTATACGGTATATAATATATATCTATAAGTAAATTAAGTTAATTGTATTGTATAATGTAATCATCAAATGATTTTTAAAGATACTTAATAAATAAAGTAGTTATCGAATTTTAATACAGATAACCAAATTAGGTCTTTTATTAGTGTTTTTGAAAAATATAAGTTTATTATTAAGTGTAATGGATTAAATGTATTTAAATATGCTATTACGTTTTACTTGTTATTTTCAGTATCACACATCAATAAATTAATGGTTTTACGTAGTTGTTATTTCTTATTTATCATTTTATATTGGTAATTTATGGGTCATTAATTATATATATTCCTAAAGTTTAAGACATTACAGATCGCTAATTTCTTAAAAAATAGATGACGTTTGCCCAAGTCAAGAGATAAATAGAAATATTTTTTGTTAAATTTAACGAAAATTATATTCTACATTAAAAAGATTCAATAATTATGGTTATACAGAAACAAACATGTTAAGCGAATTTTACAATTCACTTAAGGAAAAAGAAGCTATTCGTTTGACCCAAATTTATTCATCAATACTTGTAAAAAAAACCCTATGGCAATAACACAGAATTTTTTCTACGTTAACAATCGACGAGATATCAAGAAATAATAGAAAATTATAATAATGACGGTAATTCTAATAATGCTTTCTCTTAAAATAATAGTTGTATTAAACAAATTATTTTTGCAATTTTTTAGTTCATATATTTCTTGATTTATAAATAATTACATTTTAATTTCATCCTTTACGCTTTATAAAGTTATCAACTTTTTTTTTTTAAATGATAACTTATAAATATATATAACTAGCAGCTCATAATAGAGAATGATGTAATTATAATATTTATGGGTCGATTACAATTTTTAACCCTTTACTTCTGATGTTATTAACATTTTAAAATATAGACTAGAGGGGGGCACAGATATGACTAAGCTTAGATTAGATATTTCTAGGTACTACTTCTGCATAAATGTAAAAATGTTGTTATTTATTTTGAATGTAACTTAATGGGTTATGATAAACAGATCACATAGTATTTTTAATTAACAATTATATAACCTTATTTCATGAACATTTTTTTAATTGTTCAATATCTTTAAAAACGCTAAAAAATTCCAATAATAATTTTTTAGCATTATCATTATTTTATGAGAAGTAAAGTGGCTAACGTTAAAATAATCATTCTGTGTACATTTAAAGACAGTAAATGATAAATTTGTATACATTGTAGGGGAGACTGAGGCCCACTTGAATGTGGAGTAGATTTGAATTGATTAAATAAAACTAGTTGTAGTTATAAATTAATCTCACATAAAATAATCATATCAAATGTTGGATACAGCATGACCAATATTCTGTATTTTACATGAACTTAATTTATTGACACAACTAGTTTTATTTAATCAATTAAAATCTATTCCACATTCAAATGTGTCCCAGTATATCGTACATATTATTAGTTACAAACATAGATGGTTTTAATAACTATATCTCAATAACGCCCCTGAAATTCCAACACATTTTCGAACAATGCATTCGTATTATTTTAAAACAAAAAATTGACCCAAATTCAAATAACTTGAATAAAACTAATAAAACTATTTTTATTACATTTAAACATTAACAAAAATATTAAAAATACTGCTAAAAGTATCAAAAGTGTTCAATTGATTGAATTAAATGTAACTATTAGTTAAATACGCTTTCAGACTAAAGTTGAAAGTATTTTCTTATCATACAATATAATATATTATATTGTTACAATTTTAAAGAATTATAATAATATATTTTATAACAATAAGAATAGTAATAAATAGTGTAAATGAGTTTAAGTAACATATATATGTTATTCTTTTTTGCTATGTTATTTTGTCCCATTATTCATCAAGAATAAGATACTCATTTTCTTGAAAACTATTGAACAATTTTAAATTTTCATAAAGGAAATTAATTTTCAAATTTTAAAAACTTTACAATAATATATAGTTAAATAATTTGTGTTTTCATCCCTTCAGAGATAAAAACGTAAACTACAATTTTCTTTAATGGGAATCTCTATTTTTAGTTTGATGATATGGCAGAAAAAAATTCTTATAACATTTTCATCCGAAGAGCTATTCTTCTGATATTGCTTAACTTTAGCGATTTTCAACCAATTTTCTATTGTTGAACGACCAGCGTAGAAAAATTTTCTTGATAAATACCATAAAAATAATTTATGGCACATTAAAACACATTGATAACGTTTGAAATATTATTTAAATTATAGTAATGATAAATTTGTATTTTAAACCCAAATCTTTAAAAAATAATTGTAATAATTAAACAATGAATTCGTTTTACAATTATTTTAAAATGTAAACGGTTGATCAGATAAATTAAAATGATTAGAACAAAATTGCTTACATTTTTTTCAGTATCATAGCATCAAACTAAAAATAGAGGTGTCCATTAAAAAAAAATAGTTTTTTTATAGCTGAAGGAATGAAAAAACAAATTACTTAACTACAATTTTTTGAATCAAACGATAAAATCCTTTAAAAAAATAAAAAATGTTCAATTGTCCAAGAAAATGATTATTTTTTCCTTTTGTGTATACAGGGACGTCTTTAGAACTCATCTGGGAGGGTTTAACTTCTTTTTTAGCTTCGATGCGAAGCTGAGAAGGTATTGGTTTTACTAAGATGTGTTTATTTTTTTTTTTTTTTTTTTTTTTTTT